CAATAAGGTGGACGTTGATTGGCTGTTTCCAGTTGTTGATGAGTCCAAAACTACAGGACATAATTATAAGTTAGTAGAAGTAGATCCTATAGGGAGTTTAGAAGGAAATTCTTCACACAAAAGTTGGTGAGAATGTAGATTTCACTGCTGGCAGCTGTGGTTAAAGCAAAAAGTAACAATGCATTCAAAAGGAAACTTGAAGCAAACATGTGGGAAAGAGGAATAGGAGGAGTGGGGCTCATAAACACTATCACAGACTAGTTGGCAGAAAGACCTGTTTCCATGCCACATAAAGTAACTTTTTCTACTACTAGATCTTCATGCCATATAATTGTGAAAGGCAGCAATACTCTCATCAGCAATAAAATGGGACCCTGAGGGGTTGTTATGGCGCACAAAATCCAACCGCATGGCAAAGGCTGAACACATAGCATTTCATAGTTTTACATGAGCAGCTACAATCTATATAAAAAAGGCCAATGGGTTCTTGGCTTTATATCCAGAGGGATAGAATATAAACATGAGAAAGTGATGTTGAATTTATACAAAACCTGAGTTATACCACATTTGAAGCATTGTATCCGATTCTGGTCTCCACACTATAGGAAGGATATGACGGCATAAATATACGAGTCCAGCATAGGTTTACAAGGGTGAAACAAGGGCTGGCAGGTTACTACTATCAGGACAGATTGGCTAGGTTAGTCCCGTTTTTTTGCGAGAGAAGACACGTTTAAGTGGGGACTTAATAGAAGTGTTTAAAATTATAAAAGGGTTCGATAAGGTTAACATAAATTGTCTGTTTCCACTGATTAGGTAGTCCGTAACCAGGGACACAAATATAAGATAGCGAATAGGGGATGAAAAAGAGAATTTAGGAGGAATTTACTACTCGCAGATGGTGAGATTGTGGAAATCGCTGTCTGGAGCAGAGATTGAATCAGATAGTGTAGCAGCATTTAAGAGGAAGCTAGGAAGGGGGGAATAGAATTGTTTGGGAAGAAATAAAGGAATGGGTGGAGTATAAACACTGTCCGAGTGGCCTGTTTCCGTATAATACATTCTTTGTAAATCTATATTCCTTCCCAGTTCAACTTCAGACTTGTGTGAACTTGTCCCTGTGAAAACAATCTATAATGTTAGTGCGAGTTTTAAACAAGTAATAGGGCAAATTCAAAATTGAACAATACTTAACAGACCCGGTGGCTGGTCTTAAGAGTTAAGTGAATAAAGAGGATTTTCCATGGAGCCAACAGTGCTTTCAGCAGTCTGCTGGAATTTTACAGCATTTGAATTAGCTGTCCAGGTGTTCACTGGTGGTCACTTAGACCTCTGACTTGGCCTCATGGGATGCTTACAAGCATCTGAGCATCACTTTGACCTTTGTAGAAAAGCCTGCATTTTCCTCTACACTTACAGAACCTCTGCCATACCAGCTATACATACCCCCATATTTCTGAATATCTTGCAGCTAGTTCTCTGAGGTTGCACTAAACCTATAATATTCGCAAAACGATTCAGTAGAAGTGTTACCCAGGTTACTTGAGGAGGGTTTTTATATATTTGCCATTCTTTTTTTCCAGGTAGCCTGTAATTTAGACAAGAGTTTGGAATTCTGCTCGTACTGTGATTTTTATGTAGATTGGGACCAATTTATTATTATTATCTTTGAAGGAATTATTACCCCCGGAAAAGCGATCCACCAATCGACTAACAACCAGGTTCCTAGTTACTGCTAGGTAAACAGAGGCGTGTGGAGTAAGGAAGCTTTCCCAACGTATCACAGGGTTGCCCAACATTTCGCCAGCCCTGCCGGAAATCAAACCCAGGTCTCTTGCTTGCGAGCCAAGTGCTCTAACCACTGAGCTACAGAAATCCACAACACCAGGACACTGGGAGAAACTCCCTTTTCTTTTTGATTAGTGCCATAGGATCCATAATATCCACCTGAACAGGCCTCGGTTTAATGTTTCATTTGAAGGATGGCACCTCTGACAATGCAACAACCCCCAACACTGCATTGGAGAATCACCTCAGACTATGTGATTCCAAGTCCGGAGGTGGAGCTCGAACCCAGAACCTTCAGACTTAACGGCAAGTGTGCTACCCCTGAGCCAGGCTGACACCTAGAAAATTGTCTTGTTGCACATGAATGCTTACTTGTTTTGATACTTATTGAAACAAAGCCCTTATGAAATATAACATTTGAAAACATTACTATTGTATTGCACAATACTACTGGGGTCATGTCATTAGTTTCCTGTGCCTCTTGTTACATCAGTTATCACTTTTCTTTAACAGATATCCACATACTTTTAACTATTTCCAAAGCACAGGAGATGACTCCTTAACACTTCACTACCTCTGAGTGAATGAGTTTTTTTCTTTGCTTGCTCCCTGGATGTAAAGCGCCAAATTATGTCCTTGTTCAACTGTGTTTCATACTGTGGATCATTTAATATCATTGACCTGTCATTGCACTGTGGATGCGAGTCTTATGTTGCTGCACCTGTAAAGTGAACCTTGTGTTTAGCTTTGTACTTCATATGAGATGTTAAACTGAGGTCTCATCTGCCTGTTCATGCGTGAAGGGCACCATATAAATGCAAGTTGTTGATGGTGTTTGGATGTTTGAAGATCCCATGACACTGTTTGAAACGAGAAGGTGCCTGGACAATCTCTCAAATACAATTGGTCATTCACTTTGTGGCTGTTAGTGGAACATTTGCTGTGCTCAAATTAGCTGCTGTATTTTCCTACAAAATCTATAGACGTTACACTTTACAGTAAAATCCTACCAGACGCTTTAAGTCATCCTCTCAACTCTACATCGAATTCAAGGAATATTATTCTTATTACCGGCTGGTGTACAACTGCATCTTTATATATGCCTATATTCAGTTGCTGTCATTTTGCGTGGTTTAAAAACTGTCTGAAGTCATGGAAACGAAGGTGCAAAAGTCGACAGTTATCAATCTACTATTCATGCTATTAGTCGATGAACTGTTTTAGAGACATCACACACTAAACATTGCTCCACAGACGATCGCAAAAACACTTCCATTTTTACCCATCACACACATGTCTTCTTGATATTCCATTTACATGGTGTGTTTAATAAATTTGGTACATATGGTATGTGTATGTTTAGATTCTTTGTGCCAAATACTAGTTGTGCAAGAACTCCATTCCTAATACATTATTGATTTGGTGCGTTCTTATCGGAGTGGGAAGGAGAAAGGATAGAGAGCATTGGGAGTGTTGTGTACAGTCCTTCAAAACTATCATAGGTGTATTTTGGCTTTACATCATTTATCTTTGAAAATGTCTATCATGGCACCTTCCTGCCCACTGAGTTCTCTGTTACGAGAAGGAACTGAGGAAGTAAACTCTCAAAACAGTAGCCATCGCTAATGATGCAGAGCCTTTCTGAAAATATTTGATGCAATAAGTATGGTAGTAAAAGTTATGGTAGTAACTCTGGTTAATTTACCATGGAACATGCAGCGAAATAAAACTGAGTTCAGCTGCAGCTCAAGTTCAGTTCAAGCTGAATGGTGCAGTTGGGGAAGCCTGCTGTCAATTGCTGCTGATGGAGGGAAAAAAACACACAAACAGATTGCAAAACAAGCCCAAAACAGAATAAAATCATCATTGGAACTCCACCTATGCAGTGCAGAATGATACCCATAGCATATGTTTCAAGGGCATAACATCTTAGTATTAAGATGGTATCGTTAAATCAGTTATAATAATCCTCGCATTTGATATTGAACTGATACGACAGCTGTGACTGGTGGATGCCCTATAAATCTGACTTTAAAATACTTTTAAATATTCCTGATAAAGATCTTCAAAGTACAATGTCCCAGGTTTCCGGGATGTTACCACATTCTGTGTTTAAAGCAGACTGTTTAAGGAGAAAGGAGTACAATTCAACTCCTTACTACAATCCACTTGTAGTTTGAGTATGTAAGCAGAGGAAGCATTGCTGATGAACACCGATGTTACATGAGTGTAACAATGCTTGGTGTCTGTACAGTTATGATTACCATATTTAGGCAACTATTAGAGACAATTGAGAGAAGGAGAACATCATTTTAGGTTAAATCCCTTACCTACAAAGCAACCTGACCCGAAGGAGCTCAGTTGCTTCTTAATGGTGGATAAAAAGATTAAGAGGCCATTTAATCCAAGTTTTTAAATTTGTTCTTTTAGAATAAAGCGATCTACATGAAGACCTTCCTCTTCGACCATTCCTACATTTTCTGTTTATTCTAAACTTAGTAAATTTGCAAATTTACCGCACTAAGAAACTAGCTTTCCATTGAGCACTCTCTAAATAGACTTGTGTGATGGTTGTTTTAAGAGTGCGGGTTACCAGCATCTAAGTTCAGTCTGGTAATGATGCTTGAAATTCCTGGAACCATGTAACTAGTATTAACCATAAGACCACCTGACAGTTTTGTAGTTGTAGTTTTGCTTCCATTCCAAATAGAGGATAGTATGGGAAGCCTCTGGATACAACATTAAGTCCAGGAGTAAGGTGGGACTGAAAGTTGCAGCTTGACTTGCCTACGTTTTCCTCATAAACTGAAATGAAAAATGTTTCCTGTTAACGGATAACCAAATCTCAGAATTGTGCCTTGGTTTGTGATGTTGGCAATATATTTTCAGTCATCTTTCATAATCATGCAAACATCTGCTACAAGACTTTGTAGTTAGGTCATTTCTGACCCAAATTAAAATGTGCAGGTGTGTGGGTTTTTACCTGTCAGTTTGCCACCATAAATTAGAGGTGATCCAGATGCCACAGAATAACATCATTAATCTGATTATTTTGAAAATAAAATTGGAGGTGATCAACTAGCACTGATAGATCTACCAGTCTTATATCAAGTATAAGGTTAAGTCACTTTCTCAGTTTAGTAGTTTAGATGATTTATAGTTGTTTATGAAATGTTAGTTACATTCATTGTTCATTCTTTATCTCCTAACAGCCGTACCCTCACTTCATGCCTCGAAGACTGACAGGACGCAGGTATCGTTCCCAGCAACCTTTACCACCACCACCTTATCACCCCAGCTTTTTGCCATATTTCCTGTAAGTGCATTTACTGTATTCAAAATGACATCTAACCTTTGCTTGCAATGTGTCACGTTAAGCAGAAAATTCTTCTATACCATGTAAAGGATTTTTCTCTAATGTTCACTCACCAGCTTAACCTGAAGATACAAAAGGTGGGCAGAAGAGAGCTTTTATTGAAGTTTATGCACCCTGGATTTCAGGGACTTAAGCTCATAGTTTTCCTGTGAATGGGGGAAAAAATCTCAGCATCGTTTCTTGGTTTGTGATATTGGCAGTATGGTTTCAGTCACCTTTTATAAACATCTGCTGCAGACTTTGAAGTTAGGTCAGTCTGATAATGTTTCTGATCTAAACTTAAACATGATTTATATAATTGCTACTGCAAATTACAGTGAACATGTGATCATGTCTGTTCACGATTTTCTTGCATCCTTTTCAGGCCCACTTATCTATTAAAATACAGTGGAATCTCAATTATCACTTTCCCGATTATCTGCTATAATCAGAAGAAAATCCACCCGTGTCCATGAGCTCTGCCCTGCAGCACAGAAAAGGTTAAATTGTACCAAGAATTCAGACAGATTCTTTGCAGCAAAGTGGTTAAAATCAATTGAGGGTATATAATATACTGTTTTAGAGAGCATAAACTGTCTTTCTGAAGTAAATAGAAGGTTTCATCCATAAGTTGAAAAGTCAAAATGTTTAGTTGCATTACATAATGCAGTATAAAATAATGAATTGTAATTGTTGGGAATTCTTTGGAGACAAGAAAGCTTTCCTTTATAATGAATATGCTATTAAAATGAATGGCAGTTAGTGCTGAAGTCACAGCACATTTTAGGGAACGCTGGAACTTCAGTTATCTGCCGTTTCTAATTACAGATCAGAAAGGTGGGTTTTTCACTGTATAATTTGTAAGAGGCACAACAAAAAACATTTCATTCCACATCTTTATTCAGTATAATATAGATCATATTCTAGAACCTTGTTGGGAAAACGGGGATCATAAATGTAGTGCTTCATATCGAGGGTTGATCTCATTTGGGTTTGGCCTCCTACCTTGACTATCATGCAGTTTTGCATGAGACTCAGGAAAAATGCATTGCCATGTTATATAACACTATGTTCCATTGAAATGGCTCCTGGAGTTTATATTATTCTCTTTCAACATGTCGTGCCATTTGGCACAGATGTAAACAAAAAAAGCTATAATTTATAGAACCGTATTTTCCATGACTGATATATTTTCGGTTTGCTGGTATTTGACAATAGTCTCATGAATCTTAATTTGCTGTAGGTGTCGATTTTTTAAAAAATAAATCAACTCCATGTGATACTGCTGATGCATTAAACCTTTTCTTTTTCAGTTTTAAAGCAGTATTATGGGTACAAAAGCCAACTGAGGAAAATATCCACACGGATATAATAATAAGATTTTGTTCAGTTGTTGATAAACTAACCATTAAACTAGACACAAGGCACAGGTGTTGGGGGGCTACGGTGATCAGTCAAACAATGCTAATATGATAATGATGAAGCCATACTGCAGTTTGTACGTAGCAATTCACTCTGTAGTAATTTAAGTATCTGGGACGCCATCCTGTGTGAGGAACACTATATAAATGTAAGTTGTTGTAGTAATAGCTAAGGCATGCTGCTCTGGGTCGCACTGCAAAGAGTAAAGGATAGAAATGAAGAAAGGAAATAAATCAAAGAGATTACAATTTAAAATTAAGAGAATAAGTAAATTACAGTGTGTGGGAATTTTTTTTGATTACATCTTTGTTGTAGTTGTAAGTTGATCAACATGTTGAGCACAGAAAGGCTTTTTCATATTATAGATTGCACTCCTGTTCTCACATTTCAAAGTACTGGACTTATTTTACTGAGTAAGTAGACCTACGCTTTATTTAGTGTTCCAAATGGCTGCTATTCCATTTGGTAGCAAGAGAATTTAAAGGGCACAACTCCAAATTATCAGTCTGCTTCTAATTACCGTCCAGTGATGCTCTGCTGGGAAGTGTACTTGTGGCCTTTGGATGACAACAGGATCGGGCTCAGCTGTGATGTGATGCCCACTTGGTCTAATGTAATACAACAAAGGAAGAGCAGAGGGAGGGAGGGGAGCAAAATGGCCAAAAGAAACACACATAATAATAATAATAATCCTTGCGTTTGATATAGCGCTTTTCACGTCTTCTAGACGTCTCAACGCGCTTCACAGAATATGCTGCAAAGTGAATTGACTGTATATTTGTGGGCAAAAATAGCAGGTAATAGTATTTAAGTTTTTAAACAGCAGACCTTTTGTAGCAAGGCTGATGGATGGGTTCTTTGCTCCACACTAGTCTCCAATGAGGACTGTTTTGCAGCTGTCAGGATTCTCTAGTTTTAATGCAGATGTGGACGCGCTATAAATGAAGGGTTCATTTGCAATATAAAACGATCATCACTGGTAATTTTCTATACAAGGCGTGTTTGTAGGAAGAATATAGTAACAGAAATAAATCGAAGGTAACTCTTATTGTCTCCTAATTCTAGACTTTGCTGAAATATTATCCTCATCTTTCTCACAGCTGGCAGTTGATAGCATCATATTTATCCACAATATGCTTTGTTTTAGTTTTTTGTATTCTTCCACTTCCGTTCTTTTGCATTTTGTACCTAACTGACTGCTTAGCAATCTTGCAGGATTATTTGATGACACCTGCCTCTATAATTAGCAATATAAAATGCATATTTAATTTAAGCCAACATTTGAAACATTAAAAAAGGAAAGCAAATGGATTTTGATCTGTCTAAATCATTGTGTATCACAGTAAACGTCACTGACTGAGTCTTTCTATCTATAATTCTAAAGAGGCTTTTGGTTGATGGAAGATACAGAATTATAGAGGGCAACGTGTTATGGAAAGGAAGTGATATCAACAGCGACCTACCGACCTGGACGTTTGTTAGTTTCTAAAGTTCAACCGGGGCACGATATAACATAGCCAGTCTGTTGAAAGTACTTTTATCCAATGTCTTCCACGCTTTAGGAAGTGTTATCTCCATTGCAGTGTTCTCAGTACCATTGTGATAATTAAGGCAATCCAGCTTGAGAACAAAATCTTGCTTTAAAACTTAACAATCGTTTTACTTATCACTTAACATTAAAATGATGATTTGAGTTTAGTGGATTAACACGCTGGCCTTTCACATCTAGGACCTTGGTTCAAATCCAGCCCAGATTGCTGGATGGGCTGTTTGTTAGCTGTAAGAGCCCTATGATTGGGCAGTCATTGCTGACTTTTCCTCGTGGATGTGAAACCACAAGAGTAAAACTGCTTCAAATTTGGCCCTAAACTGGCAATCGCAGTCAGGCTGTGAAAATGCTGCATGAGTGGATTATGGGGTTTCTTAAGATCCTGTAATAAAACTAAACTAACATACATTAATGGTGACACTTATTGGCAGAATTATACTGTATCTGACCTGGCAATGCTTTGATATTGTGTGCCCATCCCATCATCAGACAGTCTTCTTGTCTGGTGTACAACATTCCACTTATCCCATAGGAAAAGGCGCTTTATAAATGCAAGCTGTTGTTCTATAGCTGAGCTGTAGTCTAATATATTCATTGGATGAGCATAGCATTTTTTTTAAAAAAACATTTCCACAAAACACCTCATTCAATTTGAATGGGAGATAACTATAGTTAATTTTACAAAAGGAAATGCAAAGCAAACTAATTTAAACATACAAATTATTCTTGAAGGTTAATTATCGATAAAGTGGGGCTTTGGGTATTTTTTTTGTGCTCTTCAGGATGATGGAAATGTGGACGGCACTTTTTTCTGCTTTGGATATATCACCCAGTGTCAACATCAAAAAACAAATCATATAAGCATCTTGAAGAGCACAAAAAAATACCCAAGCGCCCATTTTATTGATAATCAACCTTCAAGAATAATTTCTATGTTTAAATTACTTTGCTTTGGGTTTAAAAGCAGAATAAAGCTTCCATTACTCTGCCTCAACAGTGCCTTAACTCTGACCTCAGAACACACACCACTGCACCAGTGTGTCATTTCAAGTTTCCGTGACAGCTATCATCATAGTTTTTTTTAAATGGGATTGCCAATTTGTGCCAGAATATGGGTACTATTGTATTGTGCACTCATTCCCACGTTGAACAGAGGTTGAGATGACCCAATCTTATTTCACATAGACGCCTAACAGGCAGCAGAGCAATGAGCCTTTAATTCCGTTGCAACCAAATATCCAGAAAGCAAAGCACTTGCATTCCAGTTCACTGTGGCACTCAGTTCTTCTGATGGTGCCAGTGCTGGTGCTAGCTGTTTGACTGGAGCAATCTACTCTAATCCCATTACCCTGCCCTCTTACAATGACATGCAATATCTTTCTCAATTTGTCTACAATTATTTGTCTACAGTTTGTACCAAATTATATTTATGCGTCATTTTGATGTTTCAGAGCATCAAAAATGCCTGCGTTAGCGCTCCAAGCCACTACCCTGCAATAAGGGCATTATATGACCGGAAATTGTTGTAAATAATAATCCTTACATTTGATATAGCGCCTTATCACGTCTTCACGACGTCGCATAGCGCTTCACAGAATATACTGCAAAGTGAATTGACTGTATATTTTTGTGGGCGAAATTGTTTTATTCTAACATTAAATAGTTCAGCCACATTAAAATAAAATTGTTTTATTAAACTTTCCTTATAACACAGTTTCACATATTGTAAAAACAATCTTGAAATCTTCGGAAACTAATGGCCTGATCTTTCTTTTTATACAGATCAATGCTTCCAGTACCACCTACAGTGGGACCAACCTTTAGTTTGGAATTGGATGTGGAGGATGGTGAGGTAGAAAACTACGAGGTTAGTATATTCCATATGATATGATCTTTACTCAGTTGATAGTACTCGGTTTTCGGTCAGACATTTTGGGGGTTTAGCACACATTAGGATTTCAGCTCAGAGTCTAGGCTGACACTACAGACTCAGCCGAAACACCAGTCCATGCCTTCTTCACCTCCCGACTTGACTTCTCAAATGCCCTCTTTGCCGGTCTCCCTGGTCCACCATGCACAGGATCCAGCTGGTACAAAACTCCGCCATCCACATGCTCACCCCCTACTAAACTCCATAACCCCCATCACACCAGTTCTAGCCAGGCTCCACTAGCTCCCTATTGCCGAACAGATCGATTTCAACATCTTCACACTCGTTTTCAAACCTCTCCAACCTGCTTAACCCTCCAACCCACTACCTGCTGCCTCCGTCCGACTGGTTCCAGCCTTCTGCATATCCCTCATGCCCTCCATTTCACCATCAGTGAATTGGAGTGAGTGGCTGTGAAGGTTGTGCGAGTAGGAACCAGAAACAGGAGCTGAGGCTTTCATTGTGTTTAGCTGAAGAAAGTTACCAGCTGAACCCATTCAAAGCACGAGGTATATGCTCCCTAAACTCTGCATAGAATCATTGATACTAAGAGCTGCCAGCAATCCAGGTGCCATGAGCCAAATGGCCATCTTCTGTATGGTAAACTTTCTGTGATTCTAAACTGTCTACTGTAGTCCGATTACGCTGCTCTTTTTTTTCCCATTACATACATATTCTGTTTTTCTGTTTGACTCGAATCACGCTAAACTAGTTTATTTCGTGTATTAGTCACCTTCAGCCAAGATGCGGTTAACGTTTTGAAAAATGTATTATTTTAAAAATGCATCAACAATACGAGCAACAACAGCAAACAAACTTACATTAATATTGGGCCTTTCAAGTCAGGAGGACGTCCCAAGGCACTGACCAATCAGAGTCTTATCAACTTACAAAACCTTGTGCAACTTTAAATTTTCTGCCAGACAGCTCGCTCGATCTGTTAGGAAGTCGAGAAAACCTCTGGGCCTGAGCAAGATGAAACTCTTCTTAAAAACAAAATAAGCGTGCATTCTGTTCAAGGATCTGCCAGACATCCACAGGAATGTTCAGACAATATTTCAAATCGTAAATTACTCCTCTACCATGTTCCTAGGCAAGACGATTGAAAGTTAGCAATCACTACATGTTGTTTCAAGATGAAACTTGAACCGTGGCCCAAGGAAAATTTTACCCCTCCCTCCAAACTGCAGAGAAGTTTATCCTGTGCACATCTCCTAGATACTGTAATCCCACAGGTACATATATTTTTCAGTAGAGAAGTTTAATGTAAACCAATCCATTCATTTTTAACTTTGGATTTCCAACCTATTTGTATGAGCCCTATTTGTATGTTGAAATGATCTGGTGCTTCTCTGAGTTCAGTGGCCTGCATTTGTCCCTGAAAGGAATGCAAGGAAGTACAGAATGTACATATGTTGTACATTGAACTTTGTTGGATTGCAGAGCCATAATAATCAACTACTTTATTGCTTCTAAATAATTATTCTTTTATGTGCATGTAGTTGGGGAAGTCAATCAAGATCCTCATCGGTCCAGTACTTTTGCCAATATAAATAACATTGATATTAAGAACAAATTCTGAACCATAAAATAGCCTTATATCATGTTACTGGGCAAGAGAATCGAAAGCCATGTTGGAAATGATTAAAAAATGTGTGTTTTGTTTGCAGGCGCTGCTCAATTTGGCTGAAAGACTAGGAGAGGCCAAACCACGGGGACTTACAAAAGCAGATATTGAGCAACTTCCATCCTATAGGTTTAACCCTAACAACCACCAGTCAGAGCAGACGTTGTAAGTAGAACCACTGAATTTCTAAAGATAATAAAGACGGGGTGCCTTAGAATTATAAGTGATCAAGTTCTTCAGACCTTGTTGCTATCTGTGCTTAGACTTGTCGATGTGAACACAGTGTGGCTCTCGGGCCATTGCGTGAGGTTTCCTGGGCGTGCAGTGGATGGGTTTACACGGGGCCATTTGTCAAGTCCAGGACCGAGCAATGAGGTGGATTTGTGGTAAACGGAAAGCAGCTGCAGAAAGGGAGGGTTGAGGCCTACACTGATCTGTCGCTGAGCTCTCGTGGAGGCAGAGTCAGCTTCACAGCTGGCAGAGCTATTTGCCAAAATCCCTCACGTGAGTCCTTGGACAAAACAATTAGTGCTGAGTAAGTCTGGTAAGTAATATGATGCACTGTAAAGGACAAACCAAATATTTCTTCCAACTATTTTCTTTTTCCCCCTCTCTATAAGCAAATACAACAACAACAACGACGACAATTTACATTTGTAGAGCGCCTTTCGCGTCGGGAGGATGACCCAAGGCGCTGGACTGTCAGGGAATTGGATCCGAGCAGGGGTTTGGGATCGGGAGGGGTGGAGAGCAGGGAGGGTGGGGGTAGGAGGGTGGCCGAAGGCGCAGTCGAAGAGGAAGGTCATAAGACGTGCCTTGATGGAACAAAGGTGCAACTTCAAGCACCACTTGGAGTGTAAAGTACTGGGCTTGGCGTGACCATTAATAACTGGATAACTGTGTGCACATCACTTATAGTTCCATGCAACTTCTCATCACCTATACCAATCATGAACATATGTAGAACTTGTTCATTTCACACGGCATGTCAGAGTAACATGGACTGTCCAAATTAGACAAAACATTTAGTTAACAGAACAAGAAAATGCTATCAAGCTCCTTCCTTCCATAAACCACGACCAATTTACCGAATTCTTTTGAACCTACAGGTAGACGTGCCATCTATTATTGTCAATGATCTTAAAATACATATTTTTGGCTATTTTATACAGGTGTGTAGTGTGCATGTGTGATTTTGAATCGAGGCAACTACTTCGAGTCTTACCCTGCAACCATGAGTTTCATGCCAAGTGTGTTGACAAATGGCTTAAGGTAAAATGGATTTATAGTAGAAAACTTTACTTTGAATTAATTTTTTAAAAAAACTAATTGTAATTAAAAATGCTTGGGTATTGATCCTTTATTTTTTGCATTTATGGTGTAAATAGATAGATAGCACTGCACTTACTCTCTGTTTAATCTTGTTTGTAGTAGCAAAATTGTGAGAATGATTATCCATGCTTTAAGGCTAATTAATGCCTCCTTGGAAATCTTTGATAACTTTTGATAAGTTATGAGTTGAGAGCTGTGATATTTTAGGAAAGTAAGAATCGTCTTGTAATATAGAATTTTCCTCACCCCCTCACGACATCTAAAGTAGCACTAGACTTTTATTGTCAATTATTATGTTCATATTTTTTAATTCATTGATTGTACAACAGTCTTTGAGGCGTCTCGAAGATCTGATAAGAAGCTATACCAAATGCAAGGATTATTATTACTACTGTGTTACAAATGTTATTGCTATTCAAGCTATACACTTTAAAGGCAAGATTTTATGTTGTAACTGATTTAATATCATTTATTTGTTTAAATAAAAAAAATAAAATTTAATTTTTACATTGTTTCATGTTCATTTGCTCAGAATGGATCTAAAATTATCTTTGAGTTCAGTAACATTTCAATACTGGCAAATGTACTGATACACTTCTTAATAACAAGTAAATGACTCACTGAAAATAAGTATTATGTTTTCCTTTGACTTGATGCCATCTAGAGGTAAACTTTTGCTGTGCAATATAAAAAGTGTCTCCTAATTTGAAAAGTAGGCAGCAGCTTGAATGGCAATAACATTTGTAATGCAGTAGTAATAATAATAATCCTTGCATTTCATATCGTGCCTTATCACGTCTTCGAGACGTCTCAAAATGTTTCACAGGATACACTGTAAATTGTAGTCACCGTGTATTTTGCGGTCGAAATGCTTTAAGGCTAATATGCATTTGGAGAACTGTGGTATATGTTTCACACATTATTATATGCGCTATACAAATAAAAAATGTGGTTAAAGGGAATCCCAGAGGAATTTCGGTACATTAGTAAATAAAAAATCTGGAAAGTATCTGTTATAACAATGCATAAATACACCCAAGCTCCTACATTTGACAAAGTTCTCTGGTTACTGCGCTTTATAAATAAATGTTTGAAGCTGAATAAAATGACGTCATTTGTGGAATCAAACCCTCTTAAAGAGGAGATTGGTTTTAAGTGACATTTGTCTTGTATCATCACTTTTAGTGATGCAAAACTATTTAAATTTGAAGAAATTGCACTCTTGACACCATTGGTTTGTTTGCAGCATTGGCTTTTTTTTTTCTTCGTAAACTGTACAATTTCACAAATTATGAAATGGTACAGTCCATGAAGGAAACACATATTCTAAATGGAGCTCAATGGGAACTGCAAATCCAATCTCAATCTCAATTTGCAGTTGTGAATCTAATTTGTTCCATCTTTTGGCTGTTCTGTAAATTAACTGTCATCTGGCTCATCGGAAATGTTGAACACACAAAAGTGTTTGCAGTTAAACTTCTTATAATTATAGTTTCACATTTTGAAGTGATATTTTTTACTTCATTCTCTAAAATAAATAATTCACTGGGGTGGGCTGGGGGGCGGGGGGTGACGTTGTATAAAATATCCTATGGGGAAGATCAGGCAAATAACTTGGAACAAAACTGGGTTATGAACAAACCCTGTCATTATTTTGGGTTCTGTTTCTCTCTCAACTTGATTATCCAGGAATACAATAATTAACTTCTGTGAAACTGAAAGGAAAAATAACCATCAGAAGTTATTATTCGTTGGTTTGCGTTAGTCTTAGAACATTTTTTAAAAAAAAACAAATGTAAATTCCTGTAAAAATAACAGCAGCATTTGTATTAGTGAAAAAAAACAGTGCAAACAGTTCATCTCTGATTTGAAAGACCATCAGCTATGATGGTATACAGGTCTGTACAACAGGACACCATCAGTGATGTGATCAGTTTTGTTTTATTACGTCTATTAGATTTGGTGGTATATTAGAGTTGTAATTAATGTAAAACGTATGCCAGGGTTCTCTATTAATATATGCACTATACAAATAAATATTGTGGTTAGGGAATCCCAGAGGAATTTCTATATAGAAATAAAAACAATCCGGAACATTTTTTTGACAATGTCTTTAATGTTTTCTTATAATTCACATTAACGATGCTTTGCTTCTTCAACGCATAGTACAGACGTATAAAACAGGCTTTTCTATCTGTTTCCAGGCAAATCGTACATGTCCAATTTGTCGAGCTGATGCTTCAGAAGTTCATCGTGATTCAGAATGAGACCAGACTAATAGCACAAATTTGGGTGTTCCTTGTCACTTATGAATGAACTATCCATTGAACTTGCCTATTGTGGCTTCCAGCCTTCCCTTTATATTAAGGGTCATGATGTGATGCAGTCATATGACCTCCCTTTGCACTGTGTGATTTAATGACTTATAAAGCTTATATAGTCCTCACGTTGAAACAATTATGGGATTGTTATACTAACAGTGTGATTGGAACTCCAAAGATTTTTTTTTTCAGCTTAATTTGTGTGTGCACTAACATTCCCTGGTTTTTGTGTGATCATTCCCAGTGTTGCTGCAAGATTACAGTGGACGTAATCTTTTAGCATGTGCGCTTATTCATTTATATATACATATATATATGTATGTGTGTGTATATATATATATATATATATATAAATAAAGGTAGTTCAACCATTTTAGCATTCTACCTTATAGAGCCTTCAGGTACTGTGAGTGAGAAAGATTGTAGGCGTGCGAGTGTTTTAGCCAAATGTACTTTGTGTGAGAAACTTAGTACTGGCATGATGCGAGATGTATGTGTGTAGTCTTAATTATGCTGAAATGTATTCCTGTGTGTTATTTATACAGTCCTAGTACTGTACACTGGTTTGTTTCTTTTTGTTTGCGGTTGCACACTGTATGCAAAGGGTGCAGCAATTATTAGAAATTTTATTAGCCAGTTGCCCCTTGGTATTTTGTAAAGGCAGATTAGAAAATTTTATTTATAACACACCCACATCTAAAATAATAAGGGTGAAAATTTGTGCCAATCAAAATATGGTATATTACTACCCTAAGAACCAAAGCAGTGAGTCTCAAAAGTACTTTGCTAGGAATCTTGTCATGTACAAAATGTGAGAATCATATGTGAGTCTAATGACAAGAGACTGGGTGTGCTATAAAAATACAATATGTTACAAATTGTCATTGGCATGTCAAATAATATGGGTCCTCGTGTGTGAAAACAAAACCCTCGTCGCGTATCTAGACTTAAACTGGTTTGTTCAGTTACTCCAGTGCTCCAAAATACGTCTCCCGGTATCATCTTCAGATATTCATGGAACCGGCCATTTTAATTAACTCCCATTTGTTAAGCTAAACTGAAGCCCGTTTTGAGAGTACTTAATTCAAGTTCAGCGCAAACTGAATTGTGTTACCATTTTGCTACCAGCCTCCAACTCCCATTTCCTCCATTGTGATTTAATGTGTACTAAATTTCTCTTTCATTCCAGCACAGTTCCTTTTATTTTTATCATTTTGCAGGATCTTGCTCTGGCTTTTTCTCTCTGTTTCTCAGAAGGTGTACAACATAACAGCACAGGTTAGATTTATAATATTACATTTTATTTTAATTTTCATCAGTCTTAGCAACGAAAGGGTATTTCCCATTATTTGTTCTGGAAACTGACCCCAAGTAAAGCAAATTATTCTTATTAAATAAGAAGGGTTAGGGACAGAATTAAGCACAAGGGTTTTTATTTTTAAATATTGCAGGAGAAAACAATGAGTAGTTATTAGAAAATACGTCTATTTTGTAGTAGTCAGACAACCATTGACAATCCAAAGAACTCTTTGACATCAAGTACGTGTATTTGATTCAATTTTATAGCAAATTTTGTAACAATATTTTTATAGTGCTACAATAGGGATTGACAATGGTAGTCACAATGGATAGAAACACTTTCTGGAGAAATTAGGGCAGATGCGGATTTGTAGTGACAGAAAAAGATTGTAGCTGTATTTTGATCCTCCCTTCTTCCCCCAAGATTGTATTTATTCAGTGGTCAGGCACAAATTCACACTGACGTTCTGCCATTTTTCTGTTAGGAATTGAATCGAATGTTTGATTCAAATATTGATTGAGGTCAACATGTTTGTTAGCTGTGGTATCGGATACATGATTTGCTTAATAGAGATAATCGAGGAGCAAACCATTCTTAAAAACATGGATGAAGTAACTTCTTAGAATTGTGGAGTGTTCAAGCTGGATTAAGAACCTAGTAGTGCCACGAGATTCGATTCACCCGACATCTGGGCGTTACTGGAATTGGACACAGAATGGGAGCGAATTTTGTTATTTACAATTTGGTTATGTGATTTACATGTAGTTGTAATCGGGCCCTTTCAAACTGTACTTTCTCACTTCTAGTCCAGATCTAGTGTGTGCACCCACTCTGAACTGGAAGTAACCCTTCCCTGGCTTGTCGGGTTGCTTTTGACATCACTTTCTGCATGTCATCACTTCCTGCTCTGCCTGCTACCCCCAGGCGTTACCGTTGACATCAGTTGGCGAAGGAATTGGTGTGAGCAGTGTTTCCTTTCACAGGGCACATGGTGTCGACAGCAACCTGACCACCACCAACTCCGGCAGATTGCATTTATATAGCGAGTGTCATGTCGGGAGGATGTCCCAAGGCTCTGACTACCATAAGCCCATCATTTCTCTCTATCTCGCATATAATGTGGGTGGTGAGATTTTAGGACCAGCCACAAGGTTTCCCACGATCTCATAGAAATCTACAGCACAGAAGGAAGCCGTTCGGCCCATCAAGCCCACAGCTCACAGACCAAGGAGGTTGTTTCAATCCCAATGGCTCCCTTATCCTCAAATCCCTTCAAGTCCCTCTCTTTCATATGCCTGTCTGCTTCCCTCTTGAAAGCTACAAAGGTCTCTATGCTTCCATCACCCAACTCAACAGGTCATTCCACATCCCAACTACTCTGGGTGAAAAATTTCCTCCTAAGTTCTCCTATCGCTCTTCTTGTGGCGATCTTATAACTGTCCCCTTGTTACTGACTTCCCTATCAGTGGAAATAACTTCTCTCTATTTATCCTAACAACACCCCTCATGATTTTGTACATCTCAATCAGGTTCCCCTCTCGATCTTCTCTGGTCCGACGAAAACGCGACCAGCTTCTCCAATCTCTCTTCATAACTGTAGCCCTTCATCCCTGGAAGCATTACATTTCACATGAGTAATTTGCAAAAAATAATTACAGCCTATGTTAATTTAAGATTTGTGCACCATTGCCTATCTGAGCATTAATTCATATCCTGTCTGCGGTGTTTGTATGTATCCTGCTGCTTCGCTCTGCAGCGTCACTTTCATTCTACAGAAATAGTTGAATTGCTTTTTTTGTTTGAAACTTGCTGTTATATTAGAGTAATTGGAGCACTTTTCACACAGATGTAGAAGAGAAGACATTCAAAACAAAGAGCTATTAGTACTGTTAGAATGTTGTTTTTGTGTTTCACATTACGCTAATATTGCCAAACAGTGTTAATTTTTTCACACTTTGCTGCTGATTGTGAGTTGAAGGCTGTTTATAAGATATATCCGGCATTTCTAAAAGACCTAACTGTCAAACTGCACGGACAACTAAAATATATTTACCGAGGATATAATTGTTTAAGTCTGCATACATAATGAGCATTTTAATCGTGACTAATCATGCAGGAATACAGATTAGGTGGTTGAAATGAGAAGCATTAAGGACGTGTAGAAGAGGGTTTTAAATATTGCATGAAAAGTTTTTAATCCGTAACTTGTGTGACCTTAAAGTCAAGTATATTCATGACAAATTGTTCTTATTTAAATTATTTATATGACCTATCATTTAAGAATCATGAAAATAAATTGGAATTGCAGGTCTTTTAGAAATACTTGATTGTAACAGTTCAGTAGCAGAATTTTTAAAAAAAACTATTGGGCACTGAAAGAGAAAGTATAGTAAGAGTTAAATTGAGGGCTGAGCGTTCCTTAAATTATTAGTCACTTCATATTTAATACAATGTCTGTGATATTCATCCGTTCAAAGAAATTTCCTTTGTAATATCTATAGAAAGGTGCGACTTCCAGCCCTGGAGCATATTTGATGTTTTATAGAAGACATTATCCATTTTTTCCTACAATATTACCAGTTTAGAAAATGTTACTTCAGTGCATAAGTAAAACATCTCACTCCTGCAAGGATCCGCCGCTTTAATGCTGAAACGGAGAATCAACCACAGTATTAATTGGCAAAAACAAACCAAGGGTTTTATTATTCACACAGGCGTTAAATGTACTAGTTACCTGGACTCCCATTAGAAAAGTAAAATTAAAATGTTCGGGGTGGGGGTTGGAGTATTTTTTTTGTTTTTTGAAGGGAATAATTTCACATAACTTGGTTCAATAACGATTGGGAGGTGGTACAGTAACAGTTAGGTTTAGGTCTGATTATTGGCAAAATTAATTGTTGCACTCTTAATGCTAACCACTTTTGAAATGTTTCTTGTGTTGTTTGCATGGAGACTCTAGGGCAGATGTGTGCAGACTTTGCTTTCTGTGGTCAGTGTGTAATAAGCACATGTGCATGTGTATCAAACCAGCTCCTACCGGCTGCAGCTTTTTCTGCCCGACTGGGGTTGGTTTGGGTGGGAAAGGGGATTCATGCTCAGCTGTTAACTGCCATGAATTGTAATGTGCATTTATGTATTTAATCCCACAGTCTGTATGGTGGAAAAGAACAACGACATACAGTAGGATTTGTTGTGTGTTGGTTGGCCCTCACTAATATTGGGTTTACCAATGTGTCCAGCTCACCATTTTGTGTTTGCATGAGTTTTGGTGGATAGTTTTGAAACATGTTAATTGTAACCAAATTCAGCAAGACCTAGGGATAGCCCAAGTTTTACTCATCGTTATTTTGACAAACTATAACACTAGACTGCTCAACTGGTAAATGTTTACTCTACTGATTTTCTTTTTAAGAATTACTCTCACTTCAACAATGATAGGTACAATGTCATTGGTTCTGAATTGCTGGGGTTTCAATAGCAGTCTTCCCATTGAGGAATAAAAAAATATGAAGCACATACACTCTGGATTATCTTTAGGTCTTAATGGAAATCTAGTGGGGCTTTTCTTTGGTACATATACAGTTACCTCATTTTGCCACTTACGTATTTAAAAATCACAAATGAATCAGAAAAAAAGCAAATGGATTTTGTTGGAATCATTTCTGAGTGTTTCATTGAATCATACACACTATTGTATCATTTAACATGACAAGTAGTTTTCAGTGTTGTATTATAAATCTATCTGTAACCAAATCATTTGAAGGCTTGATAAATTTTTAACAAAATTTGTACATTTTTTATGAAAGTTACTAGTAATGCTTTACTAAGTAGTGCAATGAATTTTTATTTTTAATCCCTGTGCCCAATTTTGGAGTTGAGAGGGTTGTTCATTAATAAATGTATGATGTATACTTATTGTTGGTCTGGTAGTCTTCATCTAAATGACCTTATCTACTTTGTATTACTTTCCAACTTATTTCCACATCAGATTTATTTATTTCAAATTTCACCAGGACAAACATGCTATTATGCCTTATTACATGTTTTCCAATGAACAGTAAAGTGAAAACTAAATATCCCTAAATAAGGGATCTAAAATGTGGCAATTACCAACAGGTTCATGTAAATAAGGGCTCCCAAGGGAAAAGGAGACGATTCCAGTAACAGAATGAATGGCACCCACCCAGATTAACGCCCTGCCAAGACGATCTATTTCTGGAGTAGAACTCTTGTGGGCTGGTGTGAGGTACTGCTGATTTTGAGACGCCATCACCATTTGCCACTGGGAAACCTGTTGAGGAACCTCATTCAAAAAATGATGATGTAGATTTTCGGAGACAAAAAAATGATCATCAAACTGGGATGCGTTTCATACTTAGCTGGGTTTCCGACTCGCACAGAAACCTGCCACCCTGCTTGAAGAGTATCCAAACCCGAATTCCACAGACACGTGCCACCTACACATGCGAATTTCTGCGTTTGGAATGGAATGTGTACTCTCGTTCAATTCCAGGCAGAGGGCGAAACCTCGGGCAAGTTTCCTCACTCCACACAGAGCCTAATAATAATCCCTCCAAAACAAAACAATAATAAATTGGTCATTTTCAACCCACGACTGGCTGTGGGACGCTGCTGTGCGCAATTGGCTGCCGCGTTTCGCCCACAAATATACAGTCAATTCACTTTTCAGCGTATTCTGTGAAGCGCTTTGAGACGTTGAGAAGACATGAAAAGTGCTGTATCAAATGCGAGGATTATTATTATTATTACGAGGACACATCCTGCTTTACCTAATTCTGGAGAGTGTTAGGTTGGCAAGAGTCCAGGCTTGGTGATTTAGGGTTACTGCATATATCGCCCACAAAGTATACAGTCAATTCACTTTACGGTATATTCTGTGAAGCGCTTTGAGACGTCTCGAAGACATGATAATGACAAATGACATTTGTGTAGTGCCTTTCATGTCAGAAGGCGCTATATCAAATGTAAGGATTAATATATTACTGTTTAGTCAGCTAAAACAACAGCTTGGACAACAGCTTGCATTTATGCAGCACCTTTCATGATGAATAGCATCTTGGAACGCTTTACAGCGGTGGGATTGGATTCCAAGCAAAGAGAAAGGGGAGGTGATCATCGATGTAGTCAAAGAGGTAAGTTTTAAGGTGGGATTTAAAGATAGATAAAGAAGGGAGTGAGGTGGAAGGATTGAGGTAGGGAGTTCCAGATCTTAGGGCAAAGTGACTAACGGTACAGACACCAATGGAGGCGCAGAGGATTTGGGGGACGAGCAGCAGGCCCGTGCCAACATAGTGACTGGGGGCAGGCAGAGGAGTAGAGTATGAGTGCCTGCATATATAATTGCATAGGATTAAACTGTTCAGCACTGGTAAATATACCCATCCTAATTACCCACCCTATCCCCCTCCCATACCCCACTGTTCCCTATATGTTTTATATTTACAAGTTCAACCTACATCGGGACTTCGCTGTCATTCAAGGGAGATGCGAATGACCATTGTACCCTTTGACCCACAGTTAATTCCTCTCATCAGACTGGCAATATCTTCTTATATGCTAACATGTTATAGGGGTATGGGGGCAAAGGCAGGTAAATGGAACTAATGGGAAGAGCATAATTATATCTTTAAAAGAACATCACAGACACTAAAGATGTGCCATGGGAGTCATAAACGTGTTGTAGAGCACTGGACTTGTCTAAGCCTAGAAAAAACACTCCAGCCATGACCACTGACAGACCAGCAATGGAAATATATTTGGGATCATATCCAGTTGTGATTCCTTACCGAGCGATGCACCCGTTGAATCGGTTTCATTCCACTTATAACCCTCTTAGCCTAATATTGTACTTAGTTCTAAGCTGCTTTTGCAGATAGTCCACACTTGCTCTGAGACATCTTCTGGTGCCCCTTTAAAGTGCCTCCACGTTTGCCTTAAAGCTCTCCCCTTTGCAGTTACCTTGACACGACCGCTGCAGAGATAATTGTCCTGCAGGATGGGGTTTCAGTTTGCTTAGAACCTCACCTTCAGAAAGCGATTGGCCTCATCATCAGCCGTCAGGTCCCAGGCTGTCACTTCATAACAAACAGTACTTTTTATCAGTGAGAATTCTCGAACCTTTACACAAACATAAATAAAGCACCGAACTGCAGTGAACAGCTCCCACGAACGAACCAGCAAGAGCCTCTATCATCGATACCCTCTATCGAGAGGGTTTGACTGAAATGTCCTGGGACTGGAACGAAACTCTCACGTTAACTGAAATAAATTACTTTGACCTTCATAGCTTTAGGTTATGGGTGGGATGGGGGAGGAGGGTTGGCCAGCCAGATGCATGGCACATCCATCACCATGCTCAAGAGTATCCAAGCCTGTGAGTTCCATGTATGCCACCCGCATGTGGAAATTCCTGTGTTTGGAATAGAACGCGCACTCTCTCTCCTCGGTGGGAGACATTCTGCTTACGTAATTGCTGACGTTCAGAATTGGACGTGCAAAGGTCCTCCGTGTATATGTTGAAATGGACCCCTGGCTGCAGATGATGATAATTATAATAATCCTTCCATTTGATATAGTCGTTTCGAAATCTCAAAGCGCTTCACAGAAAGTGGATTGACTGTATTTTGTGGACGATGTATGTGTGTATTTGTGGTGATGTCGTGAAGGGCGCTATATAAGTGCAAGTTGTTGTTGATGTGACCAAAGAGGATCCTTTAGATCGGGAAAAGAAGACCGAGGATAGAGCCCTGAGGAACAGTACAAGTGCGGGTGCTGGGGCAGGACGAGAAGCTGTTAGAGGAGAACTGATGGAGATACTGGGACAGGTAAGGAGTAAAAAGTGCAGAGCTGCTGGACTTGTACCAGGAATGAGAAGCAGCGGAGAAGAATAGAAGGTCAATGTTATTAAAGGTGGTAGAATGGTCTAGGAGGGCAAGAAGATATCGGATATCCTGGGCACCGGCAGAGAGGATGTTATTTGTGGCTATCCAGAGCTGCCTCAGTACTGTGAGCGGGGCAGAAGCCACACTGCAGGGTTAGGTACCTTGGGGAGAAAGGGCCAGTCGGGTGGGAGGTTGGATAGAGATCCAGTTTGGATTTTTTTAAAGGAGGAAATGAATGGTGGTGGTTTTTCGGGAGGAAAAAAAAGATGTGTGGGAGATATCGGGTCCGAACAGCTTCTGTTTTAGTTTTTAATGATGCTTTCCACTGGTTTTCTGATTATGAATCAGGCTGATGGGTCTGCGGTTATCCAAACAGGTCCTTCTCACTTTTCTTGGAATCTATGTTGCAAATAAGATCAAGAAGCACTTTCTGAACATCACAGTCTTGTAGGGCATTAGTCACTGCGTTCAAACTCTGGGACAACAAATTTAACGCGGAATAAGTCAATCCCAGTTTAAAACTTCGTTCGAACGAAAAATATCCGGCAACTTTGTCGCCTTCGGAGAGTCTCAGAAGATAAGAACAGTTTAGTAAATGTTCCACTAGAGGGGGCTGAGTATCTACTGGAACCACAAACGTTATCGGGCAATTCAACCCATTATCAAGTTAGTGTGTGTTTCTCCAATGAAAGCATCGAGTCTGATCCCGATTCCTCTATTCTCTCAAATGACCTTCTTCCACATTTGCCCTTTTGAATGTTCCCTTTCGTCCGCTCCCAACAACTGCCCCTGGCAAACCATTCCATATTCAGACAACCATCTTTTTATTTAACTATTACCTTACAACGTCTTGTGTTTTAGCTCTGAGCCCAGTGATAACCATTGACTACCTTTGACTAAATTTTTGGATGATATGACAATTATCATCGATGGTAATAGCATATGCTGCCCTTTTGCTGCCTACAGTGCTATGCAATTAACTTTTATTTTTGTTCAGCTGGATGTCTGACACATGTGGAGCCTTTGGAGTCCCCTAGCATAGTGATTGATGCATTCGCCTCGCAAACGAGAGGACTCGGATTTGATTCCCGGACGGGGCGAAACCTTAGGCAAGTTTTCTTACTCCCTATGGCTCCCACTGTTTGTGGGACGCTGCTGTGCGAAATTAGCTGCTGCATTTCGCCCACAAAATACAGTCGATCCACTATACAGTGTGAAGCGCTTGGAGATGTCTCAAATGACTTGATAAGGCGCTGTGTCAAATGCAAGCATGATTATTATTATCATTATTATAGACTTACCGTTTTGACCACCCTGCCGTCAGCTTTCCCCTCCCCACCCACCTCAGCTTCTACCCCAAGCTAAGGTGCCATTATTGTTAAGTGTCTGCGGGCATCCTCCCAATGTGAAAGGTGCTATATAAACGTGTGTTGTATTGTAAAAAGTGCCATATCAAATGCAATGATTATTCTTCTTATAAATTAACCTGAAGAGGCACAGCAGAAATTCGCGCTGGACCTTTTACTTACGACTTACAACTCCATTCCCATAACCAGTTTGCAGGTAGACGTTGTATGGTATAGTATTTCAACATTGGGTGGAGCTCTTAAAAGGATTAACAGTCAATAATTAGTGTCTGGGATCAGACACAAAGGATTTATAGTCTTAGTGTCTGATCCCAGTTCCTTAAATCTAATTTCTTATGATTATCATTTTCCTGTATCATCAAAGAACAGAAGTGAAGGGTTACATTACAAAACACTGTTTAAATGTTGGTGTCACAAAATAAAGTAAAATGTACATGTAAGAGTTGAAAATGCCACAAAATCACTGACTAATAATCCACTGGAGGCAACATGTTTTGACTATAAACACCTGTAACCGCCAGACCTGTAACCTGCAGCTCCTTACGTGCAGGTTTACACATGGAAAAACATTGGGAACGTTTCCCAGCTTGGACTAAGAATGTACTGGTCATTTATTTAGGAGTGGTGCAGGCACCAGTTTCAAGCGATAGACCTGGGTTCGATTCCTGGGAGGGCGAAATCTTGGGTCAGTTTCCTTACTCCACAAGCCTGATAATAATCCCTTGAGGGAAATAAAATAACAATTTGGTCACTCAATCCACGGCTGTTTTTGGGACGCTGCTGTGCGCAATTGGCTGCCACGTTTTGCCCAAGAATATAGAGTCAATTCATTTACAGTATATTCTGTGAAGCGCTTTGAGACATCTAGAAGACGTGAAAAATGCTATATCAAATGCAAGGATTATTATTATTATTACATTATTAATGAATGACTTTTATGCACAATTTTATGTCTAAACGTTTAAAACTTAAATGAGCATAGCGCTGTCAACAACAACAACAAGATTCCATTTATAAAGCGCTTTTCACGACAGGAGGACGTCCCAAGGCGCTGCACAGTTGGGTCATGACCCGAGCATTGGGGGGGAAATGGTCAGGGTGAGGGGAGGGAAGGGAGGGAGCGAGGAGGGGGAAGAGAGTCGAGAGGGGAGCTGAAGGCTCGGTCAAAGAGAAAGGTTTTGAGACCGGCCTTGAAGGAGGAGAGGGAAGAAGCGGCGAAGGCACTGGGGGATGGAGTTCCAGAGCCTCGGGGCTGAGAGGCTGAAGGCCCGAACACCGATGGTAGGGCGATTGGGGCGGGGGACGTGGAGCAGACCGGAGCCGGAGGAACGGAGGGTACGGTACGGTACGGGTACGGCAGGTAGGTAGGGAGATAGTAGGTTGGAGAGGTAGGAGGGAGCAAGGCCGTGAATGGCCTTGTAGGTGAGGATGAGGATCTTGAAATCAATCAATCAATCCTCTGGGGGATGGGGAGCCTCGGCTTTGATATATCCTGCTTATGAGTTCAATGTTTGGACTCAGCTGTGAGCCTATGATATCTATGTCCAAGGCTTTTCAAGAGTGTAACTGTGGATTCAGGCTTCAATCATCATAGGTATTTTTGTTAAACAACAACTTGGCATTTATGTATCACCCTTCATGTAGGATAATGTCTTGGAGAGTTTCACGATAACAGGGTTGGACACAGGGGTTGAGATGGTGGGGCGAGAGAAAGAAGGTTCCCAATCAACCCATCGTGCCTCTGATGGCAAACAACTTCACTGGACTTTTCTGCTTTAATCTCTTTCCACTGCTCTTATCCTGAATGATTCAGTGATGAATGTATTTTGGACCCGGCTTCAATGACAACTTGTGGTAAAGCAGCCAACGTTCTAACAAAAAAAAATAAACATTGCTTCTAACCTTCCCCTATTCTTTCTTCTGTGTAAAAGTATGTCAACATTTCAATGTGGTTGGAGATCAGAAATCTATGTGTTCAAATCCCATTTGGTCTATTCAATCCACCACCCTTTCCAGATTGATAAAATCTATCTCTCTAAAAAGTAGGATCTCCCTAGGGTTCGACTGCCTCTGAGGAGAAATGGCTGCTCAGCCAAGAAACAACATATGTCTATAATATAATAATAATTATGCATTTGATACAGGACCCTATCATGTTGTCAAAAAACTCTTTTTACTCTAAATTCCACTTTATTGTGTAATATACTGCACTGTGTGTCTGTAGGCAAACAGGGCAGCCAATTTGCCTGAAGAAATGTCACAAAAACCGCCATGACTCAGAGTTGAGAATGCTACTAACTGAGTAACACTGAAACCTGAGCCAAACTGACATATGGTAAGATCCAAAAACCATTGGTGATTGATCAACTTGTGTGTTTCATCAATGAGCCTTGGATGGGCATGCAAATACTGTGAACCAACGTTGGGTAAGGTAAGAACAACAAGACAACAACAACAACAAGATTCCATTTATAGAGCGCCTTTCATGTTGGGAGGACGTCCCAAGGCGCTGTACAGTTGGGTCAGGACCCGAGCATTGGGGGGAAATGGTCAGGGTGAGGGGAGGGAAGGGAGGGAGCGAGGAGGGGGTAGAGAGTCGAGAGGGGAGCTGAAGGCTGAAGGTCAAAGAGAAAGGTCTTGAGACCGGCCTTGAAGGAGGAAAGGGAGGAAGCGGCGAAGGCGCTGGGAGATAGAGTTCCAGAGCCTCGGGGCTGAGAGGCTGAAGGCCACCGATGGTCGGGCGGTTGGGGCGGGGAATGTGGAGCAGACCGGAGCCAGAGGAACGGAGGGTACGGGCAGGTAAGTAGGGGGATAGTAGGTCGGAGAGGTAGGAGGGACCGAGGCCGTGAGGATGAGGATCTTGAATTCGATCCTCTGGGGGGTGGGGAGCCAGTGGAGGTGAGCGAGGGCGAGGGTGGGAGTGATGTGGTCGCGGTGTCTGGTGCGGGACAGTACACGAGCTGCAGAGTTCTGAATGACCTGCAGTGTGGAGGGAGGGCCGGGAAGGCCGACGAGGAGAGAGTTCCCATAGTCCAGCCTTGAGGTGATAAAGGCGTGGACCAGAGTTTCAGCCGCGTGAGGGGTGAGGTAGTGCCGTAGTCTGGCGATGTTCCGGAGGTGATGGAAGGCGGTGCCAGGTGTGGCGCTGATATGAGGGAGAAAGGACAGCTCAGGGTCGAACAGAACCCCGAGGTTCCTGATGGCTTTGAGAGGTGGAGAGTGCAGCCTTGGATGCTGATGCTGTCAGCGCCAGAGGTGCGGAGGCGCTGACGTGAGCCAATCAGGAGGGCCTCATAATCATATCATAATATCATTATAATAAGATAGGATCAGGAGTAGACCGTTCGACCCATCAAGCGTGCCACCATTTTATTAGGTTATTATTTGCCATTTTCCTACCCTTTCACTCTTTGCCTTCGTACCCCTTCCAACCAAATATTCATCCAGCTCCTTAAATGTTTCATTTGACCTGACATCTACAATTTTTGCAGGTAGTGAATTCCGCATTTCCGCGATCCGTTGCATGATTTTGTTTTCTGGTTTCCCTCTTAATTGGTTTAGCTCTCATTTTAAAATGAAGTTCTCTTGTTCTGGATTCCTCTGTTAGAGAGCGAGGTTTCTCGCTATCCAGCTTGTCAAATCATTTTATCGCCTTAAACACTTCAATCAGATTGCGCTACAAGCTTCTTGGCTCAAGGGAATGTATCCCACGTTTGCCAACCTTCCTTCGTAAAGAATATCTGTACAGCGCATTCTCCAAGGCCAATAAAACTGAACAAAACTTACTCCAAATAAGATGTGAGCAGCGCTGTGTACAATTGATGCATCACTTCATTGTTTTTGTATTTCGACTCTCTCAAGATAAAGGCCAAAACAACAGACTTTTTGATTGTGCTCAGTGACTTGTGAACTAACTTTTAGTAACCTGTGGATATGGACACCTAAATCATTTGCTCATCTATCTAGTCTTTCCCCATTAAGAATATTTTATTAACGTTTTAGCGTTATCAAGGGATATGGGGCAAGGCAGGGTAATTGGCCTTGAGGTACAGATCAGCCATGATCTTATAGAATGGTGGAACAGGCTCGAAGGGCTGATTAGCCTACTCCGGTTTCTAGGTTTTTATGTTCTGATTTGTCACTCTTAGATCCAAGGTGGACCACCTCACACTTCAGTACATCAAACTCCAGCTGCCATAGTTCTGCCCATTCGTTTAATCTGTCTATATCCCTTTGCAATTTCTTGCTTCACTATTCGTTGATTGGCTTGCCGGTGAGCCCAAAGTAAGGTGGCAGAATTAGGAAAGCTTAGCAGTAGATTTAATTGGGCATTTAGGAAGAACTTCTTTACGCAGAGGTGTGGTGAGAATGTGGAAACCCATTGCCTGAAACTACGGTTGGAGCAAAAAGATCATTCTATTTAAGAGGAAACATGAGGCAAATGTGAGGGAGATGAAATATAGTGGTGTAATTGAGGAAATTAAGAGGGATGGGAGCTTGTGTGAAATATAAACACCAACATGGACCAGTTGGACCAAATGGACTGTTTAAATACTATATACTCCATATAATTCTATGTAATTTATTAACCCTCCTTACTTAGTCCCATCTGCAAACTGAAATATATTTGCCTCTATTTCTTCATCCGTAACATCAATACACAGATTCAAGACTGAGATTGATAGATTTCTTGTGGATAAAGGGATTAAGGGATATGGGGATAATGCGGGTAGGTGGAGTTAGAATAGATCAGCCGTGATCTTATTGAATGGCGGGGCAGGTTCGAGGGGCCGAATGGCCTACTCCTGCTCCTAATTCTTATGTTCTTATGTTCTAAGTTCTCGCGTTCAAACTTAGAACTTTCCCATGTGCTGAATTATCTGATTGTAACTAATTGTGGGGTGTTGCAATCAGTCAGAATCTTTGGGCCAGAGAGAGACTATCAGACAAGTTCCTGTTCCTGATCTCTATGCAATGATTTATACTGAAAATGATGTGTCTGTCGTCAATGGAGAGGTCAGGTTCGAGTGTGGCTTTGATAGCCCTCGGAGAGTTATAACCAGCCGACAATCCCTGGGGAGGCTCACAGCGAAGAATGACAACTTGGGCAAAGCTTTGGAGAGCGATAGAAGCTCGTGGCACAGCAAGACCCGGTGCAATCAGGAGAGGAAGGGGAACACCAGAGTAAATGTAAACCGCACGTGAAAATTTAGTTGAAAGTAGAAACGACACATTAATTATTACGGATAATAAATAGAATACATTTTATTGATGCACCAAATTGAAGTCAATATATACATTACAACAAACTCCTGACATAATGTCACTCCAAGCAAGGGAAAAGAGTTCAATGACTCTATATCTAGAGTGACTATTGTAGGTATGGATCCTCCAGGGCCACTGGGCGGTATTATTAGCTAATCATGGCTCACAGAAGACATATAATTGTATCAAAAGATAAAATAATACTGGAATAGCATCGAAAAATAAATAAATAAAATACAAAATGAACCACTATATAAATTGCCTTTAATTGAAATGCTGGATTTGATTGTGTAAAATTACATTGTGTAAAACTGCATTAAATAGGCACAATATGGGCAGTGATGACAATAATAATAATAATAATCCTTGCATTTGATGACATTGAAACATCTCAATGAGCTTCACAACAGTGCAGTGATTGTGTAAAGTGTAGTCACTGTGTAAAGTACAGTCACTGATATATATATATCTATATATAGTCTATAGATCCAGTTAATGACAACCCTACCACCAAAAACAATGCTTAGATAATATAAATCAGAAATTGAAAATCCTAGATGCTAATCCTTTTACACCTACATTTCAAAGCTTCTACAAGTTATGTATAATGTTTGCATCTTAACATGATTGTGTCGAAAACACTATTTTGCAACTGTATTAAGTCTAACCATTATTTTGTGAAATAAATCGAACTCTCCAGTAAATTATATGTGATATAGTGGTGTAGGAAAAAAATAAATTATGAAGCTTGTTTCTAAGAATAACTGGTAAAATATTAAATTAATAAACACAGAATCACAACAAGTGCAGGATAAGGTTGACAGTAATCCCTCTGCGTTAAACCTCTGTCAGTTCTCACTAGTTCCTCTCCAGAAGACCAACTATAAAGAGCAATTGAGCAATTCAAACAATAATGTTCGTCTCTGAGCAACATAGTAATATTGCCAATGCCTCCTCGCATTAACACAAGAGGATCAGACTAGTAGAAGGAGACACAGGTGAATCAGTGATCGCGCTTGACAAGACCAGACAAGAAGTAAACTGTTCTCTTGCTCCATTTAAACCAGTTTTACCCTGAACAGGTTCAGCCATCTAAAGTCACAAACAGTGCAACGCAACACCTAAGTGTCAGCGTAGAGGATGGGTTTAACTGACGCTGGATAGTTTCAGCAAAGTCTTCTCACGATCAATCTTGATTTCTGCCAAATAAAGAAAAAAAAATCAGTAAATAGATGAAACCTGGATTATTGGGTTTTTTCAGAGAAACGTTCAGAAATAATGTTTGCATTCCCTGCTTAAAGTTCAATCCAAAACAGTGTTTCTCTGAAAGTCTACAAAATAGAAAAGTACCTTAGTTTGCTGTTAATTATTTTCTTCACCCAGCGTTTCTTAATATCTAAGCAGATCTTTACTCCACTTCGAAGTACGGCACTAAAATGAAAGGAAAAAAGGGTGGATTAATATTGATGCTGTAGTAAAAAGAGCACATATATACAGCCAGTACATTCACATTATAATAAAAATAATCCTTGCATTTGATATATAGTGTATGCATTTGATATGCCTTTCATGTCAGGAGGAAGCCTCAAAGTGTTTCACAGGATATATTGGAAAGTATAGGGATTGTGTATTTTATAGGTGAACATGACAGTTAATTTGCACACAGCAATGTTCCACAAACAACTATGATATAAATGTACAATTTTATCTGAGGAATTGTTGGCCAGGACACCGGGAGAAACTCCCTCCCAATATTTTTTTGGGGAAAATACAATCACACCTACAACTTTACAGTACATCCTGCAATGCACTTTGAGGTGTCCTCATTGTGCGAAAGGTGCTAAATCAAAAACAGGGATGATTAGTAATTATTATTAATTATAATAATAAATATCTTCACAGATGTAAAAAAATTCAAACATTGCAAAATATTTCTTTAATTAAAATAAAAATATTGTTTTAATGGGTTTAAAAAATACTGTTTCAGTAATATAGGAATGACCATGGACCGGAAAACATCATTGCGATCCAAATGTGGCCAGGGCCAAAGAAACTAAATCCTTCACTAAATCCGCTGTACTCTTCAACTGGATTTCTTTGCCAAACAGCTGGTTAAGGGACATTGTTCTGTGCAAATTGGCTGCGTGTTGGCGTATGCTAACACACTTATTGTAATTGTAGAGTGTAAATGATGTGGGCCACATCCTCATTTTTGGGAGGTAAGTCACCTTGGGACATTATTCAACACTTGGCTTTGGGCAATGAGTCAGAGGCGAGTGATGCCATGATGTGCAGCTTGTGAAATGCCAAAGGCGCTCGCAGTAGTTGGGAGTTTTTAGAGGTCGAGGTTTTTGGTTTTGGTTGGAAATCTGCATTGCGTGAAGGTAGATGCACTGAGCAGTGCAATGCTCTAATGCTGTTGCACCACTGAAGAACGTCATCACGTGCAACCACAAGTCTCTGCATTACAATTCCCAAGGCAGAACCAGCAGGTCAGATTGCTGGATTGCCAAACTTGTGGTTTGGGGGAATAGATTGAGAGTTGATTAAGAGCAGCTTAACTTGGTGGCGCAACTTTGCAATTATCTTCCAGGAATTCGCAACGGTTCAATAAATAGCTGTTAAAACAGCTAACACACAAATTTCACTGAAACATTTGTATTATTCACAAACTAATTGAAAAATTCTACGTCTAATATTAACATATTTTAACATTAAATCCCCCCTCCAATCTTTCCCTTTCCTGAATATACTGTAAAGTGATGTTTCTGGGTGTATTTTGTGGATGAACGCAGCAGCCAATTTGCACTAATATCCCACAAAGAGTCATGTAGCGAGTGACCAATTTTATTTGGGGGGATTGTTGGCCGGGACATCAGGAGAAACTCTCTTCCCTTTTTGAATAGTGACACGGGATCTTTAACGTCCACCTGATCAGGCAGACGTGGCCACGTTTTAACATCTCATCCCAAGGACGGCACCTCCGACAATGCACCACAGCCTGCGTTAATATCAGCTTAGACGAAGTGAGTTCCAAGTCCCGATGTGGGGCTTGAACCCACAAGCAGAGGTAAGAGCCCTACCAACTGCGCCAAAAAGTTTCCCGAATTCTTCACAATCAACCGTTTCAAGACTGAAATTTAAGACTTAACACATTTGGTCTTAAAACAGAGAACGTGAGAAATGTTGGGCAACTAGAATTTTCTGTAAGTATAACCCCCTCAAGCCTAGTAATGCGCTATTTTCTATTCTATAAGTAGTGACAACGGGGCTGAAAAGGCAATGTTAGCCACATTGATTTGCAAATAGAGACAGAAATTGCAAATAACGACTCCTGCCGGAATCCTTGTGTTCGCAGAGTGACACAATTCCACTTAGCGGCGGAATTCGCTATTCGGATCTCTGAAGAAGCATTCGCCGAACCAGGGAGCAAATGTTTCAAACTAAATACCACAGCCACGTAATGCACATAAATGCAAAACTTGGCTGAGATATTTAGTTAGCCCACACAATTCACTCAGCAGTATATTGTGCGAAGCGCCTTGAGATGCCTCGAAGACGTGATAAAGCCCTATATCAAATGCAAGGATTATTTATTTATTTGCATGTTGTTTAAAAGTTCCTGTGCCTGTCATTTTACTCACATGTATTCGGTTTGTGGGCAGTGCGGCCCCGGATTAATGATGATCAATTCTTTTATGAACTTTGGATGGATGAATTCACTCGTCGTTTTGATGCAATGGCAACGCATTATGGATACAGCTGTAGAGAAATATTATAAAGTATTAAACGTCTGCTCTTAAACAAAGTTGTGACTGTACGGAGTTAGCAATGCAATACTTTTTGCAGGGTCAATTACAAGATTCCATTCACCAGTGTTATATATTATATATATATATCTATATACCTTTCTTTTAGTTAAGAGTGACAACAACAATAAATTCCTCCTTCATGGAGCTCGCTATATAAATCCATCTTGGAGCGCTGTGTTCAGCTGTTGTCTATCAACAGAAACTCACTGACAGTAACAAATAAATGCTAAATAAAAGCTTATCACGAACAAAAGCTTAAACATAAAAAAAGAAAGAAAATTTGCAATTATGCTTATCATGTTGCAAGCCTCAAAGTGTTTCACAAATACTGTTCTGCACTGTCAAATATGGGGTAGGATATGGGGTAGGAATTCCACCTGGCTCTAGATTTACTCTGTTACTGTAACATTTTAGAATGGGCAAAATTTGGTAAACTCGTAAACTCAGCCTTAATTTGGAAAACGGTTTCCAGTAAGTTTCTTCTAAGAAGTTCCACCTATAGCTTGAAAATTAAGAGTGAGTTCAACAAATTATCAAATTCCAAAAGACCTGAAATGTCACACAAGTAAAGTAAGTCTCGCCCCAGGAGGAATTTCTCCCCCAAAATTTGTTGGCAAAAACAGCAGCTATCTCTCACAAAAAGCCGGGAGACAGTCCCTCAAACATTCCCCTTCAATGTGATCCGCTAAATGCCTAATTTAACTGATAATTCTAGCTCTTTGTGCTCTGAATTGTTAAAGGTATAACACCATTAAGATAAGAGAACAGGAGCACTAGATGTTCAATAAAAGGCTCCCAATAGGATGTGAAGATTTATTGAAGCAAATTATTACAAGGTTCGGGAAGATCTGATTTTCTAGGTACTGTATTTGCCTTTCAAATGATTACCTTTAGAGAAGTAAATCCATTTCACTGTACATCTGTCTACCAAAGTGGGAGTTTTTGCAGTATTTCATCTGTTTACGCACAATACTGAGCTATAAAGGATTCTGGTTGGCCTGTCAGAAAGAGACGCTGAGTGAAGAATGAATGGGCTGAGATATTGAGGTTTGTACAACGCAAGGAGTATGAGTTTGAGAATCCAACGTGGTCTACCAATGGGCAGACCTGAGTTCTCTCTCTCTCAACAATTCAATCACCAAGAAACTCTGGTGTCCTCAACACTCTTATTACTGAGCAACTGGTCTGATTGGGAGAGATAGCGGTAATACAACATCAGCCTATAGTTAAATTCAGTCTTAACAATTCAACAGTTTGTTTCAAAACCTGTTAATGGAATTAAACTAATGCAATAATCAATACAGCTAAATATTCACAGCAGTTCTCTTACCATCTATCAGAACTGCAGAGAGGAAAAGGACATTCAGAAGGATGATAGTAGTGCTGTACTTCATGGCTCTGCTTGTCTTTAGCCACCAGGTTTTTCTTGATACTGATATGTATTGGCTCTCCTTCTTCTGAACCAGGATTGTTACGGTCGTGATATTTATAGGCAAACCGTGGAATTACACAGCAAGAATTTTGCAACACTTGGATCTCAGCCAAGTCATGACACAAATGCAATTAAAATACTGCCAAATAAGAATGGAGTAAACTGACAGAGTTACATTTTCAATTTATGTTTCTCTCTTTCATATCAACCATCATATACTGGGTTCTGAATTTAATTCAGGTTTCAAGCACCTTAACGATCACAGACACTAACAAAGATAAGGACGATAGAAAGAGAGAGATGTAACAAAGACAACGAAATGTTGAAGCAGTTACTATGTTTTTCAGGAGTATTGATCAATTCCCTTCAGCTGCTCACCGTATGGAATTGGGACACATTCAAAAGATTCAACACTCCATGCCTACAAGTAATGGGGTTTTAATATTCATCTAATATATCCATTCATTCATAGTGTGTTAAAGTCTGTGTAAAGGCTACTAGTTTGCATTTGCTTCCATCAAAATTTGTTGCATTTATTTTTGTTGAATACTCAATTAGGATTAATTGTACAGTTGACGAGGAGCCAATGTGAGGAAGTATAACAGGACCCCTGGAGTAGGACGAGGTGGGGTGTGATGTAGAGTGGTGCTTTACTGAAAGTTGAGAAAGACAAAATAAAGAAGATACTGAGACACCTGTGACTTGGAGAGAGTCATATTACAATTTGCTACAACTCGGATGTTCTGTGATAAATGTTGATAATTAAATGTGTTAAATTAAATCGTCAACTGGTTTCAGGACTGAACGCGATGTTTTGCTCCGAAGGAGCTTTGGAACGTTGCTTAAAACTGCTGCACTCCAATTACTTGTGAGGTACTTGTTGATGCTCGAAAAAGAGCTCTGAAAGCACAAGTTACTTATTATAAATCAGAACAGTTTTGTTTTTGTTTGAACTGTAATTCGGTCCAGATTGGTAGAGGGGAAAAATGTTGTAAAGTTGGGCAAGGATGTGTAATTTAGAGCCTCCGTGAAAAATTGCACTTTCCAAGAAGGGATGAAATGTATAGTCTCAACAGCCAAACAGTGACCAGGCAGAGGCCATGTCTGAGCCCACTCAACCCCGAAATGTTTTAATTTTTGGACAGTGAGCGTGGATTTCATCCCTTCTCGGTGGATCAATCACAAGAAATAAATATTAAACAAAAAAAGCTTACGCCCCGCTCTAAGGTTTGCATTTTTTTTTTGAAGGTTTACACCTTGCTGCTAATGTCAAAGAAAGGTGGTGGTAGGGGTTTTTGAAAAGGAAGAGAGGACAACATGTATAAGAACAGAAGAATTTGCTTCTGGGCAAAAGGCGAAAAAGGTCCATCCAATTTGCCTTCCACCATCCTGCCCACCGCTTGATGTGTTGTCTCCCGAAATACATACTGTATCCCGCGATATTATTTTCTAGTAGAAATCTACTGAGTTGGTTCTTGATCTTGAAAGATCCTGGTCCTCACGTACAAAGCCCTCCATGGCCTCGCCCCAACCTGCCACCTCCTAACCCCCTACCAACCCGCCCTCCGCTCAGCCGGCTCTGACCTGCTCCACGTCCCCCGATTGGTGGGAGAGCCTTCAGCCACTCTGCCCCCAACCTCTGGAATTCCATCCCCCAATCACTTCGCCTCGCCCCCTCCTTAGCCTCCTTCAAGTCCCGCCTCAAGACCATCCTCTTCAACCATGCCATCGGCCGCTGTCTCCCTAGGGAGCCTGTTCCATAGGTTTATTACTCGCTCACCGAAGTAGTGTTTCCGCAGATTTGTTCTGAATTTACCTCCCTTCAATCGTAGGCTGCGTCCTCAGGTTCTAATGTTCAGCACAAGATAAAACATCTTATTTGTGGTCTACGTTAGCTATTCCCTTCAGAATCTTAAAGACCGTAACCATCCTCCCTCAACCTTCTCTTCTCGAGTTACTAAGCTTTACAGAACTCGCCCTAAAGTGCTTTGAAGTGTTCTGACATATTAAGGCTTGTTATAAAATATCTATGCTGCCACTTGACGGCTGAGAGTTAATGTTGCTGATAGTTGAGACACCCTGTAAATATTATCCCAAAATTGGTCATTTCATTAGTCGCTCAGGCGTCTGTGGATATTTACCACTCTGGGTGGCTTCATTCCATTATATTGCTCCAATAATAATAATAATCCTTGCATTTGATATAGCGCTTTTCACGTCGGGAGGACATCCCAAAGCGCTTCACAGAACACACTAAAGTGAATTGACTGTATATTTGTGGGCGAACGCGGCAGCCAATTGCGCACAGCAATGTCCCACAAACAGTCGTAGATTGAAAATGACCAATTTATTATTGTTTTTGGTTTTGGAGGGATTATTATTAGGCTCTGTGTGGAGTAAGGAAACTTGCCCAAGTTTTCACCCTCTGCCTGGAATTGAACTCAGGTCTCTCACTTGCAAAGCGAGTGCTCTAACCACTGAGCTACAGGACTCCACAATGATGTAGGTTCCAGTTCAATTGACAATATGAAATGTTTTACATTATGAACTGCCTGAGTCGCGTGTGGATTTGTTATCTCATTCGTAATGCTCCAATTTGAAGTCAACACTATGTAACTAAACAACACAAATGCTGAGCACTGCCTGGCAAGCCCCACACATAAAAAAAACCTAGAGCTGTCAGGAAAATGAAGGTGGATTTGCCGAACCCCTCCAGCGTTTGATGTTTGTTAAACTTTCAAACCAACCGCTGGCGAATGTTTGAGAAGCAGCTGCACTGGTTAAGATGATCCTGAATAGGATGTAGGGTTCACTGAGTCAGAATAATTATAGATCTGGATTGTTCCTTTCAAAGTCAAGAAGATTCTTGTTGCAAAAGTCAGAGCAGTGTTGTGCAGTTGAAAATGCCCTCCATGTCGGGACTTTGAAGCTCATAGCGTAGGCTGACAATCCAGTGTGAACTGGTGGAGCCCTGCGCTGTTGATGGTGTCCTACTTTGGATGGCAAACTGAGGTCCTGTCGGCTTGTTCAGGTGGGTGGTAAAGATCCCATGTCACTGGTCAAAAAAGAAGGGAGCTTCTCCTGTGTCCTGGCCTTCAGTCCCCGAGATTCTATACAAAAAAATATGACTTCGTGGCTGGACGTTGCTATACACAAATTGGCTATTGTGATCGCCTACAAATACAGAGACTACGCTTTACAGGATACTCCGTAAAGTGCTTTGAAGTGTTCTGACATGATACGGCGCCATATACAATGCGAAAGTTGATTATTATTGTGCATCGTATATGGTCTAGTTGTTTCTCAGTTGACTGAGGATACTCAGAATGCTCTCTCATACTGAAACGCTCCCAAAGCTAAGCATAAAATGTGAAGCCCCCCCCCCCCGCCCACCCTCATTGGTAAGCAAAGTCTTATTGGAGCTGAACTGGCTCTAAGGTGATGTGTTCGACCAGGTGAGGCTCTGCAGTGTTCCAAGGCACTGCTGATGACAGCACAGCCAGCCTGGCTCATCGGCAAGACCGGGAAGGGTAGATCAGTCACTGGGGGCAAGAAATCATCTACACTAAGTTATAGTGTATCTTGTTAGCCCTGCGAGCCGAAGCCCCAACAGGTAGGGTGGTCCTAGCAGTGGGAAAGCTTGCCAGACAATGGTTTCAATGGCAAGCTATGTGATTTTAGCTGGTTTGAATCCAGCAGTTACCGCATTGCGCACTCTGAGGTTCCCAAGCTATGACCTGTGCCTAATACTTTCTGAAATTAGGTCATAAATCATTCTCTTCTGGGACATTAACATCTCTGGAATTTCCATGCGCAGTGGGATACACGGAACTCTCAGCTTAGGGCTGCTCAATATGGTGATGTGTTTCTTCACATGTCATACGCCCAGCTGACACACCAAAAATTTTACAATTGATTCCTGACAAACAGAAGTGTATTAGCTTGACTCAGTTGGTAGCATTCTCACCACTGAGTCAGAAGTTGTTGGTTCAAGCCCCACATCGGGAGTTTAAACTCACATGGCCAACACTTTGGTCAAGAACAAGATGGTTGGAAATGCTTTTTTGTTTACAGTTCAAAGCAATAAAATCTATTGCTTCATTCTAAGTTATTCAAGGGCATTAATTGTATTTGGAGAAGGAGGGAAGCTGGGGAAGGAGGTTTGGGAGGAAGCATTTGCAGGGCTGCGGGCAGAGAGCGGGGGAGTGGGATCGATTTGGGTAGAGCTGGCACAGACACGATGGTCCGAATGGCCTCCTTCTGTGCTGTATAATTCTATGATGCACTCCAGCTTACTGAGCTCTGAAACTTCAGGCTCAAAATGCCATTGGGACGGCAGTGGTGCTTAATGACATTATCTTAAGGGTTCAGAATATTCTTTCTAAAACATAATAATAATCGTTGCATTTGATATAGCGCTTTATCACATCTACGAAACGTCTCAAAGCTCTTCGCAGAATATACTGGAAAATAAATTGATTGTACATTTTATAGGTGAAATGTGAGAGCCCCAAGTGCACACAACTGTCCCACAAACAGTTATGGATTGAGTGACCACATTATTATTCATTTATTATAAGAACTGTTGTGAGCCTTTTTGGCTTAAAAATATAAGGTTACACAATCAAATCGTTAATTAATCACATTTTCCTGCTTACTCAAGTGTTTACTCTGCAAATTCCTTCTCAGTGTCTGTGTAAAGACATGGTGTTCACCCAAGAAACACACAGTCACTACACTTTATAGTGTATCTTGTGAAGTGCTTTAAGGACATCCTCTCCATGTGAAAGCCACTATCCCAAATGTAAGTATTGTTCATTATTATGGCTTTTACTTGTCGCACTAACATTCTGGAGGTTCTTCTCACATGGTTGGAAGAATTTACACCATGTTCCTTTAAGTATAGAATATATTTTTGGGACAATCCATAAATTTATATCTCTTCGAAGCTCAATCTGCAGGTACACAGATACATTTTACCTCAGCTGTACTCAGAGAGTAGTAGACTTGTTCCGATGACACATCCA